ATTTAAGATGAAATGTCATATCTTACCCATTGACTCGGAAGAAGAGCTCAGCTGTTGGGGTATAAACAGCATCAAGAGGAAGATTCAGAGTAGCCAGGGGTTCAACTACCCCAATCCTTGCCACCTCGTTCCCCTGCTTTGTCATGTAAAATACTTCCACTGGTTGGTCAAACTGGTTGATCACCTGAAATGAGAGGAAGCTCATGATTGAGCAGCTTAGATTGCAGGTTAAAAAGGTAATTGTGAAGTGGATTCAGCTCCAGTCTGTTATGGGTAGTGATCACTCAATTCAAATGCTCTGACACCTAAATGGGATGATCATCTTTCATTTCATCACTAGTAGGGCTATCAGGCCCCTTTGCTCATTTCTGTAGCACCTGCCATGCATATACTGGCTTCAAAGATGAGAAACTGGAAGGAAACAGCCTCAGGACTGAATGCACTAGAGGCTGAGTAGTCATCTGAGTGAGTTGGCCAGCAAGTCAATCTACATCCTGTTTTGGATCTAAACAACCTCACACTTCATCACTGCACTGACCTGAACAGGAGAACGGAGGATGATTGTCTTGAGGAGTCCTTCTTCACTGGAGACTTGTGAAATAAACCCATTAGTTTCTGAGATCATGGGGAAGAACCGTGTGTCAGATCTCAGCACAGGAACTTGGAATTTTCCCTTGTAGCCTTCCATCTATCCAACCAAAGAAAGTCACCACTTTCTCAATGACTGAACTCTATGTTACAAGTAGACTGTATATCAAATATGATCACCTGAAGAGTGAGGAACATCTGTTCTCGACTGTCCTGATCTCTGAGGATGGAGACAGTCTGGACTTTCTCCTTGTTCTGTGCCTTCTTCAGTCCCACAATGGCCCCAGGTTTCAAAACCACTTCCTTCACACTTGAGACTTGCTCCTCAAACAGCTGCCAATCCCCCCAAAAATTAGTCCTCGTCTCAGCAACAGCTACTTAGCTTAGAAGGACTCACTCTGCCTTAAGTACTCATAAAACCAACATCACACCAATCTATAAGCAATAACTTGCACAAAATCGAAATGGAAAACACACCACAAGATCACTCTCAGCCAGGATGTAGGTGACATCAACACCAA